CCGTCGTGTCTCGGATGTTTCCCCACACCTCGGTGAACGGAGTTGCTCAGGAAATAGCCCGTGTTTCCTCGGTCAAAACATTTCTGGCAGAAATGAAAATGAGTTTGTTCTTGTCCAAAAAAATCTCGGGGTGAGGTGGATCTGGCTGAAGGGCTAAAAACAAGAAAGAGAGATTTGTCTGGCTTTGTGCAGCCAGAGAATGTCTCCGGGCTGGACCGGCCAAATATCGACTGAGTAGCTGAGTGCGGATGCGCCGTGCTGAGCGCTGCTGGCCGTGTCCTTCTGCTCCGGCCACCGGCCCTTGGCTGCAGTGTTGCCAGCTCTCCCAGCGGCCTTTTTCTCCCAAAAAGCTCCAGCAGCCCCTCTAAACTTGACCATCACGAGCGGCCAACTGCTCTGCAGCTGGTTATGCTCATGTGAGGAGGAGGGAACGTGCTGCTGCAGCGCCCAAGCCTGCTCCCCATGCGGGGAGAAGCCTCGGCACCCTCCAGCCGAGCCCCCCGGGAAATGGGGCGACGCTGAGCTCCCCCCTCCAGGGACTCTGCGAGGCTCCCAGCCTCGGCTGAGTCACTCGCACCCCGGTATCGGCGCTTTGCTGCGACACGCTCTGGCAGCACGTGCCCCGCGACCGGGAACGTCTCAGCGGTGACTTAACGTGGGGGCAGTTCCTGCCTTGCACAATCCCTCCCGGCTCTGCTGCGGGATAACGAGCCGGGATGCGTGATTCAGGCTGACTTACCCGGGCTGCAGCTTTGGGAGCGAGAGGGATGCTGGCCTGGGGACGGGGCTCTTGGCTGCCAACCCCATCAGAGCTCCAGAGCCGGCTGCTCTGCTGCGTGGGCTGGTGAGACCGGGGTGTCTGGACACCACGAGCATCACTCACCGCCCAAACCACGGGTGCTCCTTCCTTCTGCAGCCCTTCCCAGTTCTCCCTGCAGCGGTGCGAGCAAAGGTGGGGCTGTGTCACCTCCAGGGCATGTCACCTCCAGGAGCATCTCAAGCAACCCCTTCCTACTCACCCCCCTCTTGCTATAAAGTGGATTTGCAGAAAAGGACCTGGTGAGGAGAAGGCAAACTGGAGTCAGCCCTTACAGCATGGTCAACCAGCCTGGGCTGAGCTGGCTGGTGGGGCAAAGAGGTTCTTCCTCTCTCATCAGCACGTGTGGGACCTCGATTATGTGGTTCTGAAAAGCACAAATGTTTTGGGTGAAATGCGGATGCAGAGAGAAGCCAGAGAGCACTTGCTCTCGTCGCTGCTGTATCAGGATCTGCCCTGAGGGCTTGTTTCGCCTGCTGGCGTTCCAGGCAGGCAACCCAGAGGTGTTTAAGATGTTGCCTGATTGCAGGTTTGCAAGGGAAAGTGCCACCTTTTCCTCCAGGGATCCCTTTCCAGGCTGGCAGCTTGGACACGGCTTCTCAGTACATCCTTGGAGATGGTCACCTTCCTGGCTGGAGCAAAGGGATGCCGGGAAAGCCGTGCCCGGGCTGCCTGCTGTCCCATTCTGGTCAGGAGCACAGAGGATAAGGCACCTTCCCTAAGCACGCAGCCTCTGGGCTGTCTCTGAGCACAAACCCAATGTCTTGGTCCCCTACAGCTCCTCTTTGCTTGGTGGCGAGTGTCCATCATCCGTCTGAGACGTGGCACGCGCCCTACTCAAAGCACAGCTTGAGGGGCTGCGTTATTTTTAGCTTTGCCACCGTGAGCAATAAAGCACGTGCTCGACAGCACATTTCTCGTCTAAACAGCCCAGGAAGGAGTTCCCAGTTTTCCCAGCATTGCAGAAAGAGCGACGGCGGGGTTGCGAATAAGGATGTCTGGAATGTGGCACTCCTCCTCCAGCCCGGAGAGACGGTGGGACCTGGGGCGCTCCTGCTAATCCTGGCATTAACAGGGTGACTCAGAAGGAGCGATTAATGGTGGGGAGCCAAGAACGTGTTTCCTGGTGTGAAGTGGCCCTGACGTGGTGGACGTTCACGGCCAAAGAGGAGTGACCCATGGCACTGTGGTCCCGAGGATTCAGCCAGCCAAAGTGCCACACCTACACGCTGACAAAGGATCCCAGTAGCTCCAGGGAAGGAGCCTGGTCCATCAGGCTCTGCCAGGAGGAGAACGTGGGCAGAAGGAAGGATGCCCCCAGGCCGTGGGCTGGCTGGGGCAGGGTGGTCGGTCCGTCCTGAGGACCACGCTGTTGTTTCTCTCTCCCAAAGACCTGTACACGGCCCCCGACTCCTGCAGGGGACGCTGCGAGGAGCCCTACAGCGAGGAGGACGAGTGCCACTGCAACGCCGCGTGCGAGAGGTACCACAACTGCTGCGAGGATTACTACAGGCACTGCCGACCCGGTGAGCATCCCCGGGTGACTGGGGGGGTTTGGAGGGGGCTGCTCTCCCCCTGAGGCTGCCCAGAGCCCAGCAGAGGGGTTGGTGGCAAGCGTGTGTCCGCCGGTGTTGACGTGCATTTGTGTGCGTGGTCCTGGGCAGCCCCCGGCCCCCCGTCTCCATCCCCCTGAGCTCTTTTTCCTTTCGGCTCCGCGCAGGTGGGGAATGGGCCGAGGAGGCAGCTCACACCCGCGGTGAGTAGCTCCGCTTCTGAGCGAGGGCGATAAACCACCCCTCGGGTGTCACCCCGCGTGCCCCGGGGCAGCTCGCTCCTCTGCCGCCCGCCGCTCTTGGGGGGTCGATGGCGTCGGGGGGGGTGCACCCCCTGCTCCAAGCCGCTGCGCGTCGTTGCTGAGCAGACGGCGCAGCGAGAGCCCCAGCACCGCCTGCCGCTTCACCAGCACCATCATCTCCCCTCACCAGCGCCGGGTGAAGCAGCCAGGGGCAGGGCCGAGCTGGTGTTGGCATCCCCTGGTCACCTAAAATGCGGGCGATCGAGGCAGGGCGCGGGCAAAGAGCAGCGTCGTGCGTGGGAGACGGGGACTGATGCTTCCCAGTTCACCCAGTGCTTAATGAAAGGCCTCCCGTGCCTGCAGCCCCGTGGCCGGCTCTTATTCCCAGGGCATGGGGTTGGTGCAGGCTGGGACCCCCCTGCACCCCTTAACCCTCCGTGCTGAGCACCCGGCTCTCACGGTGTCCCGGGATCACGGCACTCGTGCGTGGGCGCAGCGTTGGGTGCAGCGTCGCCCTCGCTGCTCCGTGGGGAGATACCCTGCATCCCCAGGAGTTCCTGCCTCTCCTTGCAGAGGGTTTCTCCAGCAGCCGGGATGCCATCACCGAGGAGGACCTTCTCCGCGTCTCGGAGCAGCTTTACAAAGCAGATCACAACAAAGCTCAGCCAACCGACATCACCATTAACCCCCAGTACCAGGCCTCCCCTGGTGAGACGGGCGACCGGGAGGACCGCTCGCCGCAGCCGTGAGTGTGCACCAGCATCCTCAGGGGGTGGCCAGGGGCAGACACCAGCCAGGCAGGGTGCAGGGCTGGTTTCGGAGGGGACCTCTGCTTCCCCGCTGAGTGCAGGGTCCGCTCTCTCCCAGGCTCTACAAATACGTCAATGAGGGGCTCTTCTCCAAACCCACCTATGCGAGCTTCATTAAACTGCTGGACAACTACCAGAGGGTGACTGGCAGGGAGGAGGACGTGACGGCAGAGGAGCTGAGGGAGCAGGACAATTTCCTCAAGGAGGTGATGAAAACTGAGCTCATGAAGAAACTTTTCGCCTTCCTCCACAAAAAAAGTGAGTGTAGAGCAGGGCAGGGCTGACCAGGGGAAGCGGCGTCCCTGGATGTTGGGCACCCAAAAGGAAAGCCCCAGCTGGGTGGGAGATAACCTGGGAGGATGCAAACTGGAGGAGCGCAGGAGGGGGCTTGCTGGAGCAAGAAAGGGTTGAGCAGGACAAAGCTGAATTGTTCCTGAGGGAGAGGACTGGGTCAGGGATGGCGGGGAGCCTGGGCTCTGCCTCTCCCAGCGCTCCCGTCCCGGGATGCTGCTCCCACCCCGGGATGCTGCTCCCACCTCTCCGCGCCGCCTTGCCTGCAGACCGCTACGGCTCCGAGCAGGAGTTTGTCGAGGATCTGAAGGAGATGTGGTTCGGCCTCTACTCCAGAGGCGACGGCGAGCAGGACTCCAGCGGCT